GACCTCAGCGCGCCGCCCCGCCCTGCGCTCCGGCTCCCGACTCCCGACTCCCGGCGGGATCGGGCCTAGCCGCTTGCCGTAGGGAGGCCGGGATGCTGGGAAGGCAGAGGCGGGCGGGGCCGGAGGAGAGGGGCGGGGCAGGGGCGGGGCAGGGGCGGGGTGACCGCCTGCGAGTGCGCCGCCGAGATTGCGAGCGGCGCGTGCGCTGAGGGTGGCCGGGTGGGCACGCGCGAGCTTGCGAGCAATTTGTAAGTGGTTCCCCCAGCGCGCACGTCCGCGTTCTGGTTAGAGAAGCTGTCCAGTGAGCTCGCGCGAGAACCCGGGGATCGGAGTGGAACCCCGGGGCGGGGGTAGGTGGGGTCGCGATCGGACTGGGGGATTCCGCTAGAAGGACCGGGCGAGCGGACCCGCTGTCCGTAGCCACTGCTGCTGTTTCTGCCGGTCGGGATTCGGGTCTGAGAGTTCTTAGTAAACGTCGAGGGCCGTCCGTAAGCCCAACCTCGAATTCGCCTCCACGCTACAGACACTGCTTTAAAACCAGAGCACATCGGCTCCCGAAGTGGCCTTAAAGTGCAGGTCCGCCCTTCGGACTTTGCAACCGGAAGACAGGCCAGGCCGCAACCGAACTCTCCAAATGTGATGATGCTGCCAGAGAGGGGGCAATCAGAGGGTCACCCCGTTGCCTTGTGAATTTGCTACGCCCCCCTGCAATTTAAATCCCAAGCTCCAATTTACCCCTACTCGAAGGCACTCAACAACTGGAACTCATACGTGGTGGGTTAATGCACTGGACTGCAAAGTCGGTTTGAATCGCAAGGTCACCAGCTGCTCCCTGCCTCAGTTTCTAACTGCAGGGTTGCGATGAGTCGGAACCGACTCCAGGGCATTTATAGCAACAGCAACCCAGGGTTGCTATGGGTTGGAACCTACTGGACGACATATAACAACAACAGCAACCCATACAGATGGAATCCTAGTGTGGCACTGTGGGTTAATGCACTGGACTGCCAGGTCGGCTTGAACCACAAGGTTGGCGGTTCAAGCTCACCAACCAGCCGCTCCTCAGAAACCCAATACAGGGTCGCTGTGAGTCGGAACCGACTCCACGGCACTTAACAGCAACTCATACAGATGGGCTTCTGGTGTGGCGCTGTAGGATAAGCACTTAACTGCGAACCACGGCGGTTCAAATCCACCTGCTGCTCCTCAGAAACCCTATATAGGGAGGGTCATTATGAGTCAGAATTGACTCAACTTCACTAACAACACTAACTCATACAGATGATCTAGGGTGGGAATTTAACAGGATTTGCCTGACTAGGCATTGCTTTTACGACGATTGTTGGTTTATTTGAGTGCCTGGTGGGAGGAAGTTGATCGGAAATATGAGGGGGCCCTATAGTGGTGAAAACAGTTGCACTAGGAATGTAGACGTTGGGATTCAAACCCACCCAGAGGTACCTGGGAAGAAAGGCCTGCTGATGTGCTTCCAAAGGTCGTAGCTGTTGAAAACCTCATGGAAACGATTCTACTGTGACTTCCATGCTGCCACCATGACTTGAAATCCATGCTATTGCAGCTGGTTTAGGCTTGGGGTTTGTTTTGTTGTGTGTGTTTTTTAACACCCCCCCATCCATCAAACCAACCCTTGGTATCCAGAGAGGAGGGACTGGCTGGGACTTGTGGGGGAATCTGGGGCTATGGGGCTGTGTGAGAGCCTCTGGGGTCCAAGATAAAGGAACCCTAACCAATGAAAGGCAGGGGTGGGCATCTGCAAAGAACAAGTATAGCACCAGCTAGAAGTCAGAATTGGGGGTACCTGGAGGAGGGGGAGGTGTGGTATGAACTAGTCTCTGGAAATGTGCTACAATTTGATTTGGGCAGTGGGTGCCCAGGGCTACACAGAAGAAAACATTCATCAAGCTGTGCATTTCAGATGAAGGCCTGTCACCGTGTCTATACTGTACTTCAATTTTTAAGAACAAGCTGAGGTAATCTTTGGTGATAAAAGTTAATGTACTGGATACCTTTGGGAGATATGGACTGGAGAGGGCCCCAAGGGAGCCTTCTGAAAGGCAGAGAACATTGTGTGTCTTGATCTCGTGGTACATAAGTTAACCATATAAACTGTGTCAAACTATTCTCCGAATATCTGTGCTTGACTGCATGTGTGTGCTTTAAAAACAAAAAACTATTGGGAATAAAAAACAAAGCAGATCGCCTGGTTCAAAATCAACAGCTTTCAGCTGGTTTAAAAACCAGATTCTTTACCTTGACCTTTAAGTAGGGGGACTAGATGTCCCAATGTATCTGGGCTGGTTTCCATTGTATGCCTTTGTCACAGTGTCAGTATAAATGATGTCCTTCACTCCCACAAGCATCCGGTTTGTACAGCACATTCCCTCAGCTCCAGATCCAGCTCATTTGTAACCATCTTTCCTTCAGTTTCTAACTGCAGTCCCACTGGCCCTTCAGCTGGTCCAATACCCTCCTGCCTCAAGACCTTTGCTCTTTCTCCCTGAGACTATCTACTTGAATCTCAAATCTCCTTTGCCTTATTGCCAACTAGAGAATTTTTGCCTAACTTCCTGGGCTACTACTTCCCGTCCCACTTCTCCCTGTAGTTTTCCTTTGGGGCACTCTGCACAATTGGTCCATGTAATCCTGCTCACCGGCCTGGAAACTCCAGGAGCATAAGGTCTGTACTCTACACTCTGCCCTCTGCCCTTAGCCCAGCCACAGGTAGCTCACTAACAGGGCTGAAGGAAAGGTTACTTGATTTAACACAGAGGTGGGTGGGCCTTACAGAATATGAGGAGCTGGTGATGTGGGCACTGGGCTAGAAGAAGGCATGGAAAATGCAGGTGTAGCCTTATACTGCTGGTGGCAGGTGAGGGTGAGGTGCAGAGTGTCCGCCTCACCCATAGACCCATATGCATTCCGCCTTTGGCAGGGGCTGAGAAAATGGAAGAAGGTGCTGGGGCCCAGCCCCTGTCCTCTGGGCTCCCATTTCAACTGCAGGTGGCCCTCCAAGGTTAGGGTTCTGGTCTCCAATGCCCCAGCACGGTGAAAGGCGTTTGCAGGGGTGAAGGGAGCACGCAGAGAAGAGGATACTCCAGAACAGGTGGGAAAGGCCTGAGTACCTACCTGCAGGAGGACTGGCAGATCAGGTGGCTGGGAATGGAGACTGGGATGGGGAAGCCAAGTCTTGAGCACTATTAGATAACAGTAAGAAGGAGGAAGCTGGCAAATACTTCCACAGTGCTAACATGCCACGTACTGCTCTGTATGATAAGCACTGGACTATGAACCACAAGGTCGATGGTTCAAACCCACCAGCCACTCTGTGGGGGAAAGAGGAGGCTTTCTGTTCCCACAAAGATGCACAGCCTCGGCTTCAATGACTGGATGATCAGAGCTCAACCAGAAGAAAGAAGAAGGGAAAAAGCGTAATCTGATACAATT